CCTTTTATGACTATGGCCCAATTATTTACTTGACATCTCCCCAGCACCGACGTATAACTATGTCCCTTGAGTTCAAGCAATCACACATGTGGAGTCCAACTTATCTTTTCTCACACGGCTGTACCTCTCACGGCCGTCGTAAGTCTTTTTTGATAAAGTCTATTGCAGCCGCTGGGTCGGTGAAACGATTGTCCTGTCCCGTCGGTGAAGTGATGCGGAGAACAGCTGGAAACAAAAGTCCAAACTTAACGCCAGCCTCGGAGCAAACGTTTAGCCTCCATAAAAGCAGCTCGTTTCTTTGCCACCATTGCTGTAAAATCAGGAAAAATGCTTATCTTCATGTCCTGCAGCAGCAACGGCTGCGACTTGGCGGCCCTTCGGAACACCTCTTCCTTCTCTTGGTAATAGTGAAACTTCACCACGATCGCCCTGGGGGAGTTTCCCTGTTGACCCAAGCTTCGATGAGCGCGGTCCAGCATCGGAGTAAAGTCGAGGCCCAGTATGTCTTTCAGCATTGTAGCAATAGCTGCCGTAGGTTTCCCGGTGTTTTCAAAGCCCTCCTTCACCCCTACAATGCGTGCATTGCACCGGCGTTGTCGCCCCTCGATGTCGTCCAACTTGCTGGTCAACTTAGCAACGTCCGATTTCAGCTTGCTAACCTCATTTTCCAACTCCACTGTCCGGTCTGAAGAAGTATTCAAGTCAAGTCAACTTTATTTGTCAATTCTGCCACATGTACAGGACATACAGAGAATAGAAATTTCGTTACTCTCAAACCCTAGTGATTAAAAAATGCAAATAAAATAATTAAAAAGTAAAAATTTAAATAAATACAATACAATTTTACGTATAACAAAAAAAAAAGCTATACAATATACAACATTCAAAGAAAACTCAACACTTTCCAAACGGGTCTCTTGCTTCTCCAGATCTTCTTTGATTGTGTCTATTTTATCATTTAAATCTTTCGTGCTTGAATCGATACAATATCGTCTTTTCAGAGCTAGCAATAGCTCTCATAATCTCACTCATGTCATGGGGTGGTGCCTCCGGTCTGTCCTCAGCATGGTCCGAGGCTTTTGCGGCCTGCTCTCTCCCCGATCTAGTTTTGCTCATATGTCGTACACCGTAGCCTTGAAGATGTAAAAAGTGCCTCAGAGCAGCACACGGGCGTGTTATCGTACTGTTGTTAAAAGTTCGTTAGTTTTGGAGCAATGGAATTATGAAAAAAGTTAGTCCATTGAGGAGCCCTGTACAACACGTCTTCACATGGCTACCAGACACGCCCCCCGTCATTTTGTTATTATTCAATTCAGAACTGCCCAGACCAGACACAGTGACGTTTCACCAGAATCCCTTTGATCTCTGATCTTCTTTATGACATCAGCACCCGAAAACCTATAAATAGGGGAGAGGTTCTCACTCTTGGCAGTCTTTCAAAGAGAGTGGAAGAATTCACTAGGCAGGAAAACACTTAAACTACTGGAAACTTCCGTTTCTGACACAGTTGACCGTCTTTTTAAAAAATCTTTTAGTTGGTACAGAGATTTAGCATCAACTTCAATTTGAAATATGAGTCTGTCAAATCCTGTTGTATGCAACATGAGAGCCGAGAACGAAAAACTTAAACAGCAAATCAAAGAGCTGAAAAATGAGAATAAAACTCTCAAACAACAAAACTCTACCATACGTGACCTTAAAGTCGAGAACGCCGACCTTAAGGAGCAAAAAAGAGAGCTCATAAATGAGAACAAGATTCTCCAAAAAAACATTGAAGTTCTCTTCAAACGAAGTGGGTTCTCTAAAAACAAGAGGAAAAGAGACCTGCAACTAGAGAATGAAACAATTCACTTCAAAATTCAAGAGCTGGAATATTGTAACCAAATTCTAAAGGATTTAAACAGCTCCAAAACCAAAGAGATCCAGCAACAGAAAGAGGTGATGCAGGAAATGGAGGCAGAAATCAGAGAGTTGCAAAGCAGCAAGACAGGCTTGGTTATAAAAGTGGGAGACATGGAAAAGGACAACCAGTCTTTAAGAGAGGAAAATGATGTGACGGTAAAACGCATGTGTGAGCTGAAAAGGGACTTTGAAAAGGAAAAAGATGACATGCAACAGGAAATACAGGCTGTTAAAACTGAGCTCCATCAGGCAAACACAGCCTTTAAAGAGTTACAAGAGAGTGAAGAAAGAAAAAGGATCATGAATGAGGAAAACAAAACAACGGACAGTGAACAGCTCAGACAGACCCTGGAACGCCAATGCTTTGCACATGAAATTGACATATTGAGGCGGCATAACGAACTTCTTGAACAGGACCTCCAGGAGCTTTCCAAAAGGAGTGGTGATTCTCAAAAAGAACTGAAACCACACGATGAGGGTGCGAAAGGAGAATCCCAGATCTTCAAAGCCACTGAGAAAGACTCCCAACATGATTTTAACGTGACCAACAGAGAAAAGGAGTTGTTGTGCCATGAATTTGAGGAAAAGAAAAGAGAGCTTGAAGAGGTCAAGAAAAATCTGTATGATTCACAGGAAGCCTTGAAAACAGAAGACATGGCGTTGCAAACCCAAGCTCAGACTCCCAAAGTTTCACAGGAAGCACATAACGATCTGATAAACAACTACGATGTCCAAGTTGACATACTCAAACAACAAAATAAGGCCTTAGAAAATAAGGTTAGTGACCTTACCAAAAAGATGTGGAATGGACGGGAAGCGATGAGACAAATGGAAAAGAACTTTCAAGAACAAAGGAAGCTACTCGAAAATCTCCGAGGAGAATTCGAGGAAATTTAGCACAACTACGACTTTGGCCCTCCCTATTAAAGCTGGTTAACGCAGGTTCAATAGGGCTATAACTCAGACAATGGAAGTTCATTTGATTTAATTGGCCCAAAATGAGTGACTGCACCCAGACACTCAGTAGCAAAAGAATTACAGAGATTCAAGAGAGAAAACTGTTTCTGCATAGACTCCTATAGTACTGCAAGTCGTGTCATCGCTTGGTGTCCTGCATAGAGTGCAGGTTTAAGGTATCTACGTATCTTTCAGAATTAGAAGCTATGCTGCGTCAGGGGTTATAACAGCTGTGCCCCCCCCCCAACCGGTCGAGGCAGATGGCCGCCCCTCACTGAGCCTGGTTCTGCCGAAAGTTTCTTCCTGTTAAAAGGGAGTTTTTCTTTCCCACCGTCACCAATGGCCTTGATGACTGATAACCTTCACAGACACTGTCATCAAGGGTTTGCTCACAGGGGATCATCTGATTGTTGGGGGGTTTTCTCTCTTATATTGTATGGTCTTTACCTTACAATATAAACAGCCAAGAAGCGGCTATTTTTGCCATCCGGTGCTTTAGAAATACATCTTAGCTGAACTGAACTCCATAACATCTGGACCGAAATGCCTACACACAACGGTAGGCATTTCAATCAAGAGCTCTGTCCAAAACGTTCAATGACAAGCATCAGCACCAGGATTGTTTTTTAGCTCACCAACAGTTTTTTATTGTAACTGCAACTTTGTAAGACTGGGTTGGGATATGTTCTTGTGGTGAGCTTTTATTCACATAATTGGTTTCTTTAATAGTGAAATAAAATAAATTTGTATAACTGGAAACAGCGTTCTCATGTGTGATTATCACATTGTATTCTTTAAACCATGTAACAGAATATATAATATATATAATTTACTCATAGTCATATTAATGTCTAATGTGATTGAGTTTCCTCATCTCTACTTATGTGCCGATGTGTTCACTGAGGCCATTGTATGGTCCATTTTGGCTGCATTTCCATGTTTTAAACATGAAATTTGCTTATTTAAAGGGTGTCTCATGTATCTCTTATGCAGAAATATGTGTTGCCTAGCTGGACAAATGTAGCACAGGTCTACTATTATTGGCCTAATGTATTTTAACAATCATTTCAGCATCCAGATAATCTCTTTCATACTCCCTTAGATTTAGCCTGGTTGTCATGAAATAGGCATTTGAAACAATAACTACCAGTATCTTCGAATGTGTGTGATTGCACTAATCCTACACATTCTTTGCAAGACAACTGGGTGCTTTTATGTAAAGAATGATCTGAGAACACTGAGGCTAATGAAGTAACAAGAGAAACATAGTAAGTAGTCTTTCAGTTTGCATGATCAATTTGGATTATTGTTCATTTTCATTTACCATGTCAACATGTTTTAGAGCAACGTTTTCTGATTTTGAGCTCTTTTAGGTGTAAGTCATCGTCAGTGATTACCCTAAGCCCAAAGCAACACCAAACATGGGCAACCAAAATGCATCATTTTGTTAGCATGTAATTGTTCTCCCAATTCTTAGAAATCAGGAAACAACAAAAATAACAATTTTAACTTACAGACATGAAACACTCCCCCACCCTGGAAAAAAGTTCATTTTGCCTTTTACAAAAATATAAGGTTAGTGTAATGTTAGATTTTGCATTACTACCTATGACTGAGACCTCAAAGGTAATTCCTCGACTGCTTCAGTAACAGCCTGGTTGATTTTAACAAGTTAAGTAAATTTGCGGTCAATTTAGACTCAATTCAAAATCTCCTACTTGGGACGAACACTAAATGTAAATAGCTGACTTTCTAAATAAACCTATCCATCTTTGCAAGGTCCATTTTTGCTTTCACTAAATTCCAAATGTTTAGCCATAATTAGCTTAGCTGTCCTACTCTTGTTACTGCTCTTTCCTACTGCTGTTACAATCTTGTTGCATTATATTTCATTTTGAAATGCAAAGATATATATCTAAAATCTTGTAACTAATAATAATAAAACAAGAAAAGTCTTCCCCTTACACCCAGAAAGCTGAGAATTCTTATTTTTGATCATATGTTTTGTCTGTATAGATATTTTTTATTTACAAAGTCAAATTTACAGAATCTAAAACAGATTTAAGATCTTTACTGTTTTATGGTTAAAACTAATTTGATGTTGTTCCAACCTTAAATAAATAAAAGCACACAGACCGATGTGAACGTTTACTGTTTATTTCTGTGTATTTACATCATCATTGCTTAATTGCACAGTTTGAGATTTCAGACTATAAATATGTTGAATTTAAGATGACATGAAGAAATAAAATAAAATCATTTAAAAGTTGGATCCATTGGTAACGAGAGAAAACTGCCCTCAGTGTCTCGGCGTCTTTCTTCCTCCAATCAGCAGCGGCACTGACTGCCGCACTGCTCCTGATTGGAGCAGAGCCTTCACCTGTACGTGACACCCCGCCCACCTCCCTCCTAATTCTTCTACTTCTTCTTCTCCTCCTGTCTCTGCTTTCTGTACGCTTCGTGGGCCTCTATGATCTCCTTGACAACGGACGGGTCGTCCAAAGTCGACACGTCGCCGAGATCCTCAGTTGTTTCCATGGCAACCTTCCTCAGGATCCGCCTCATGATCTTACCTGAGCGGGTCTTCGGCAGCCGCGTCACCACCTGACAGACAAGAGTGGCAAACTGAGCTCTGATTGGACGACATAGCTGAACGCCAGCAAATAATGTGATCAATAATATAATCAACCGACAAATTACAAATGAAGAAGAAGAAAAACGTTTTGGTTTTGTAAAACGGACCGAAGCAGGAAACAATCAGAATATATGAATATAAATATTCCAGATCACAGCTAAATATTTATGTAAATCTTCCTGTTTGTTGTTGTTTCTGGTACTTCCTGTTTCCTGCTGAGGGGTGTGGAGGCGAGTTCAGACACACACTGACCAGGAAGTGCTCGGGGACGGCGTATTTGGCGATCTTGGTGGCGACGAGGTCTCTGAGCTGCTGCAGCACGGCGGGAGCGTCATCACTGAGGTCCTCCTTTAAAACCACGAAGGCAAAAGGCACTGAGGGGAGACGCACACGCACACGCGCGCACACACACACACACACACACACACACACACACTCTCAGTGTAAACTTCGACAAACATCTGGAATCAGACCTAAATCTTCTGACTGGACAGTTGCACTGCCCCTCAGCACTCTGACTTGTTTCTCTACGTTTCTGACTCTGCCTGCAGACTCAGTGACGGCCCAGCAGGGGGCAGCAGAGTCTCATGCGCTTGATGTCATCATCATTAATAAAACCAATCAGGCTTTTTCATCTCTCCCCTTCCTTCCCTCCTTCCTCGTGTCCTTACCTTCTCCTTTGATGTCATGTGGGATTCCTATGACAGCTGTTTCTGGAACAGCTGGATGTTCGTCCTGCAGGGAAGAGCACATGCGTGTCAGCTGCTCAAAATCACAAATATTGAAGATGCACCTGTGGTATCCATATCAATCTCCTACGTCGCCTTGTTCTCGACTGATGGCTTCCACGTGATTTTCAGAAAACTTGACCTGTGACCTTGACCTCGGGGTCAGATCCTTCAAAATCCTTCAAATGTGCTCAAAGGTTTAAAGAGAGTAATACTCGGCACGTTTCTGAGGCCTGTGTGCGTCTCACCAGAGCGTCCTCGATCTCAGCCGTGCCGAGGCGGTGACCGCTCACATTGATGACATCATCCATGCGGCCCGTTATCTGGTAGAAACCGTCCTCTGAGCGGTAGGCTCCATCGCCGCTGAAGTAAAACCCTGAAATAAAAAAACGCGGCTCTCAGACGGTGACTCTACAAAACTACAGACGGCCAGGGTTTACGCTGTAGCACTGACCAGGATACGGTTTGAAATACGTGTCGACGAATCTCTGGTGGTCGCCGTAGATGCTCCGAGCAATCCCCGGCCATGGCTGACTGATGCACAGCGCTCCGGTGATGTCGTTACCTGACAGCTGCTCGCCCTGGTCAACAACAACACAACAGCAGGACACACAAACTGATGACAGAGGCCAGTTTAAAAGCAGCTGATAACATGTGCTTCTTTGCAGTCTATGCAGTTTTATTTCTCACAGCCAAAGAAGAAGGAAGTCAAATCTCGGCTCACCCTCAAAACTGAAAAGAGCCACACTTTAAAAAAACTAAAAACAACAAACATCACAACAAGCAGTTTGGTCAGTCTACAAGCTCTTGACATCGTTCAAAGAAGGTTAACAGACCGAAGACCACTCAAGTTATTTTTATTTGAATTATTTCCATTTCTCAACCTCGTAAACCTGCAGTTTCTCTAACCTCCAGCAGAGGCAGGAGTGATCCCCACAGACTCCCATGGTTACAGCCTGATACAGGAAACGGTTTTTTACTGTATGAAGGACTAAAGTTTGCATTATTAGGGGCGTGGCCTCTCTGACTAACAGGTGGATGCTAGCTCCACCCTGAACTGGACCCGTGGAGCGTGTCTGTGCTGCTGGAGACTTTTTAATGTTATTGAACAATTTCCAGTAAACAACTCAGACACTCAGAAAATAGGGAACGGGTCCCCTCCAGTTCATTCTGCTCTCTAACGTCTCACGTCTCCACCCTGATAGCGACGCCACTGTAAGTGGTCCGGTTAAATCCCGGACAACCAGCGGCTAAACTCTGAGAGGATTGGAGTGAAAGTGACCTCGAGGATGAGGAGCTGAAGGAGGTCTAATCTAATTGAGTCCTCTCTGATGAAAAACCCTCAACATCCGCAGATTACGCCTCTTTAACGAGTGGATAATTAATTTGGAGACGTGGCGATCGGAGTCCGAAAGTCTGTTAATCAAAGCAAACAGATGCTGCGGCGCCGTCTTAATGGAGAGATTAAAGAGAGGGTGTCACTGGAAGGCTCGTCCATCTGAAGGTCTGAGCGCGGTTAATGAGACGCAGGATTGATGTGAGGCTGCAAACAGCTTCATCAGCAGGTCCGTCTCTGAACAGCTGCTTCATTCAGTACGTAATGATGCTTCCTGCTCCTCTCTGACTCTGACGGGACCATTGGCTCCAACATGGACTTCCTGTTTCATCATTAAAACGTTCGCTGAGGTCAGAGGTCACTCACAGGATGCTCACAGATGATCAGACCTGCGGAGCTGCCCCCTGCTGCTCATTGCAAACAGTTTTATCGTCACGCTTCATCTGAATCGATTCTGTTCTTTGTATGATGCTTCGAGTTCTGAAGGTCAACCGGGGTCACAGGTCACAGGTTCATGGGGCTCACGATGAGCCCACCTTAACCTCTTTGTTTGGGTTCTTAAAGACGCTTCCCCTCTCATGCCAGATACCTCCAGGTATGCAACCTGTAGTGTTGTCACCTCAGAGGTGGTCCCGAGACCCCCTCCCAGGTGACTGAGCCCCGACTCACACCTGGACCCATATGACCCTAACAGCTCCTCCCAGGCTGGAACACTGAAGTCTGTGTTTTATTTATCTGCCGCGTGACCCTTCAGCTCGTCACGCGTGCTCGTCTGATCGTTTCATTATAAGTGAGAGTTTCATGATAATCGCCTGTTTGAATTGTATTAGGCTGAACGTTAGCATGACTGGGGGCGTGGCCTCTTTGCCTGCCGGATGCATGGCAGTGTTAAGTCAACACAGGTACAATATAAAGAGCAGAGACAGCAGCTCACCTTCTCTCCCATCAGGACGGGCTGGATACCAAAAAACGGCCTCATGGCCATCGCTGGAACGATGGGCGCTCCTTCGTCAGCCGGGCGTGGGGCGATGCAGACTCCGCCGGTCTCTGGGGGGGACAGAAACATCACGCCGCTGTGAGGTTATCACAGAGGACACTGCTGATGCGTTCCATGCTTTCTACCCCCCGCCACCACCAGATGGCCTCAGAGGTCGCCTCTGACTGCAGCTTTAATTTCCTTTAATTTCTTAATTTATTGGGATTTTCCTCCTTTTAAGAGTCAGAAGCAGCTGGCAGAGAGTTTAAAGTCCGATTTAAAAACACACTCTCGGACACTCGGTGTCGTGATTGTCGAGGAATTAGGTCACACGCGCCCTGCTGTCGGTGATCCTGCACCGTCTCATCCCGGGGGGGGGTTTCTGTGAGGCTGCAGGGGGGGTCGGGGCATAAAGTGTGCAGGATTTGATCTTAATTCATTTTCTGCAGAGCTGCAGATGTTCCGCTGCTAATCGTTCAAATTAGGGTAAAGGCTTCACTAAAGAGAGAATCAGACGGACTTGGAGTCGGATCAGCGCCACAAACAAAGAGACCAGAAAACTTCCAGGAATTAAACCCGACCGCCGACTCCACAGCAAACACCCAGGCACGCTGTTTTTAATTGAATTTGGTAACGTTTCCGTGAAATCAACGGTTGTGGAGCCGTCAGTGAAACAGTCAGCGAATTTCGTCCTCGTAAACCGAGCTGAAGGAATCAGTTCAGACGCTCTACGAATGACTTTCTGAGTTCTTGGAAATGAAACTTAATAATAAAGCTAGCGCATGTTTTCTAAATGTGTGAGCAACGATGCGATCAAGAATATTTCCAGTGTTTGTTGTCATAATTTCAGGACCCGCAGACGCTGCTCACACTTTCAAATCGTCGATTCAAACTGTAAATAAACAACGTGCCGTTTCCCTCTAAACCCTTGTGCAGCGAACGCCTCGGCTGTGACAGGGAACGCCCACTCGGCACACCTGTGTGTGCGACCTGGCCAGACCAGTCCTGCCTCTGGGCCGTCGAGCAGCAGAGACACACCTGAGCCCCATCGTTCTGCTGCTTCTCACAGCTGAGCTTAGGTAAGACTGAAGGCTTTATTTTTGCTACTGATCATTTTTATGAACCAACCAAAGGCCTGGAAACCCTGGCGCTATCGTTCATCGACGATTAGAAATCATGCAAAAGTCAGGTGAGCACTCGCTGATAACAGTGTGTGGCTGAGTCTCACCTGTCTGCCACCAGGTGTCCACTAAAGGGCACCGCCCCTCTCCCACAACACTGTGAAACCAGTGCCAGGCCTCGTGGTTAATGGGCTCTCCCACTGTAAACGCACACACACACACACGTTAGTACTTCTAAGTTTAATAATGAAACTCAGGTTATAAAACTAACTTTGTTGACATGTAGTGCGTAGATATTTCTCCCCAGAACACTCAGATCTGATATTTTGGCTGAAATCTGATAAAACCGTCCAACCTGATCCGAGCGTCCTCAGAGACGAGCGGTCGTACTTCTTCACCCAGCTCTCGCCGTACTTCAGAAGCAGTCGCAAAGCTGTCGGAGCGCCGTAAAACTGGCTGATCCTCAGACGCTCGACGGTTTCCCAGTACCTGCCTGAAGGAACCACAGAAACGAACATGTGGAAATATGAAATACAGAATACACGACATGCTTTCAGCTCAGTCACATGACGTTTCAGTCACATGACTGAGCTGAAAACATGCCGAGTATTAAAACTTTGTTTGAAACAGAGACACCAAACACCTGCAGTCAAAACCCAGGGGTAAAAAATCCACGGTAGTCTAACATTCATCACTCCATTAACATCCATCCATCCATCCATCCATCTGCCCGCCATCCATCCATCCACCCATCATCCATCCATCCATCCAACCATCCACCCATCCACCCATCCATCCATCCATCCATCCGCCCATCATCCATCTGCACGCCATCCATCCATCCATCCATATTCCAAATGTCCTTCTCCCCAGAAGCTCCTCCTCAGAGATCCTGATGTGTTCCCAGGCCAGATGAGGTGCCTGAACCCCTGATGTGTGAACCACCGCAGCCGACAACCAAAGAGACCAGTACAGAGGAGCCGTTGTTCTACTCCAAGGCTCTCCCCGTTCATCATCTGACCAGGACGCCTCCTCGCTGATTTCCAATGGGCATCCCCAACAGGAATTAAAACTGCAGAAATACCCTGAAAGATTATGTATCGCACCTGGATACTGGAGCACCTCAGGGTCTTTACCTTACAACACCCTTCAGGTGAGTATTGTGATTTTATGCTATATAAATTAAATAAAATGTATTTAAAATAATTAAGAGGAATATAAACCACAGCTGGGGATTAAATGTCTGGAGTACTTACTAACACTTACACTTACTTCTGCACCTATCAAACAAGACCACAACATGACTATAAAATCACATTCACCTTGTGGCGCCTCTTTGAGGTCACAGATGTTTGAGAAAACAGAGGAAGTACGGTAATAAAACAATGGAGGTGCGATAAGCTGCCTGTGCAGGTAATAAAACACCTTTAATGAGTCACTAAAGCCTAGAACACCTGGTTGTACTTCCTTGAGGTCACCTGTGAGGAGAGGGCGGAGCTTCATGAGCTTCACGTGTTACTCTTACCTGGATTTGGATAAACAGGTGTGCTCTCAAACAGGACGGTGGTGGCGCCGTTGCACAGCGGGCCATACACCACGTAGCTGTGTCCCGTAATCCAGCCGACGTCTGCCACGCAGCCGAACACGTCGCCGTCCCGGTAATCAAACACGTGCTGTAACAATAAGGTCGGGGAAACCTGCAGTCAGCTGAGACTGAAGAAGTCACCTGGATGAGTGACGAAACGTTTCTCCCACAAAACGCTACGTCCAGATGAACAGAATCAACTTTTGGAGAATAAAGAATAAAGGATAATAGACACATTTGTTCTGTCATTTATGAGTAAATTTGGCACTTTTGGTGCTCCACATATAAACTGAGTGTGACACATTAAATGAAAAGTGTTTGTAGCTGAGCGGCTGAAGCAGCTGATCTGAAGCGTTTCAACCACAAACACCCCCCCCTCCCCGATACACACACACATTAGTGCTCGTCGCTCCTTTTTCACATAACTCAGCTTTTGTTCTGTTTCACATCCAAACAACCAGCGAGCCAAAAACTCTGAGCCGCTAAGCAGCTTTAGAAATTAGCACTGATAAATATTTGGCAGACATGGAGGTGTGTGTGTGTGTGTGTGTGTGTGTGTGTGTGTGTGTGTGTGTGTCTGTGTCTGTGTCTGTGTGTGTGTGTGGTGTGTGTGTCTGTGTGTGTGGTGTGTGTCTGTGTGTGTGTGTGTCTGTGTCTGTGTGTCTGTGTGTGTGTGTGGTCTGTGTGTGTGTGTCTGTGTCTGTGTGTGTCTGTCTGTGTGTGTGTGTCTGGTGTGTGTGTGTGTGTGTCTGTGTCTGTGTCTGTGTGTGTGTGTGTGTCTGTGTCTGTGTGTGTGTGTGTGGGGGGGGGGGGGGGTGTTATGTTTATATTCAATCATGAACAACAACATCAGGTCATCATGTGACACATGCAGAGGAAGCGGATGTCTCAATAAAGGCTAATTTAAAGCTTTTCAGAGGCAGGCTCGCTCTTCATCATCACCCTCTTCTTCCTCCTCGCCGGTGAGGCCTGTTATGTAATTGCTCTGCTTTTTCTTCAAGGACACAAACAGCCCATTCAAAAACACGAAACTTTATCAAACGTCCTGCCAGAGGAGGGTGAGGGAGGGAGGAGAACCCCCCCTGCCCCCCCCCACTGAGAACAACGTCTCAGTTATTCTCAACTCTGCAAACATCGTTAGAACAGGTTTCAAATCGCTGACATAGAAATCATGCCTGCAGCCAATCAAAAGTTGGCACCTGACGCCAGAGAGGAGAACCTGCACTGACCTCTGCACCTGAACTCTGCCCTAAAGATTTTTGCCCTGGAAATATGAAATATCGTTCTCCTGCTGACGTTCCTCAGAACCTCCATACAGAACATTTTAGGAAGAGGACGAGTACCTGGAGTGTCAGGGATGCGTACAGCAGGTATCCCGCCTGTGTGTGGACGATGCCCTTCGGTTTGCCCGTGCTGCCCGACGTGTAGAGCAGGAAGAGGAGGTCCTCGCTGTCGAGAGCCTCGGGGGCACAGACGGCCGGCTGAGAGGACATCGCCTGCAACACGACACGGAGCTCAAACGCTGATCAACAATTCAATATTCAGATTGTATCGATAAAGTATCGATCTCACCTCCTCCAGCTGGACGTCCCTCTCTCCCATCACCACCGGAGTCTCAGTCCTCTGACAGACGAAGACGTGCTGGACGGAGGGACAGGTCTTTACCGCGGCGTCCACGGTGGCTTTGAGCTGGATGACCCGGCCTCCTCTCACACCTTCATTAAAGGTGATCACAGCTTTACAGCCAGCTGGAGAGCAGCAGAGGGACAGTTTGTCATGATTTAATGATGAAGTGGAGTTCCTCAGGGCTCAACCCCAGGTCCTCTTTCATTTCACTTTATTGCTTCTTTTAAAAGTTTCCCCGCGGTCACACTCAGGAGAATCAGTAAAGTCAGAGATCACTCCCAGGTGTTTGACATGTGACGTCACCTGATCTGTTACCTGAGGAGCACACACTGAGCACTTCTTCTTCTCTTGTATGACTTTAGAAACTCACTTTTCACTTGTCAAATGTTGTTATTCATTAACAGACGTTCCTCTGAGGGGTATTACAGTTACTCTGCTTTATGAATGGACTGTGAGTGTGTGTGTCGCAGACACTGTTTGTGTGTCTGACGTTGTGAGCTGCCTCATTTTGTTTTTGTGGAATTTCATCTCATTTGAAAGTTTTACAGTTGAATCCGAGCCCTGAGCTGCTTCACAGATGTTGGTTGTAGAGAAAGTTTGATCCTGTCAGCTTTAAAATGTTCATTATTGTCACGATTACTAATATCATAATTCTCTGAATGTTTACATTTAAATGTGTTTTTGTGTCCGACAGTGAAAATCTGTCAACAGGAAGTCAAACTGTGGCTGAAAACGATCCAGAGTCAACCTTTGAACTGCATAAAAATATAAGAGTCTGGTGATAAAACGTTGCTGCGTCTGTGCCAGAGGTCGGAGGGCAGGTTGGCTCTGACTAAAGCGAGTGTGTTCTGCTGCTGGTTTTGGTTCATGTGAAGAAACTGTTGAAGTCCAGACAAACTTCCGCTCTCAGCTCACAATCTGCAGATAATCCCAGATTTAATGCAAAGGAGCATCAAATATGCAATAACAGAAAGTTGCACTGCCCTGTTTGCGCTTATTCAGCCATCAGCCACAGAGGACGCTGGAAGGAGGCAGGGATTGGCTGAAAAAATATGTTTTGGTAAATTTACCAGCAGCATGAGTCTGACGAGGATTTGCTTCTTAAATCTGCACCAAGAAAAAAACTGAGAAATAACTGCAGAAACTCAGAGAAACCCTAAAAAGATTCAGAGGACAGAAGAATCGCTGGTTTCCTCATTTCCTGCTGCTGTCGGTTCAAACGACCGTTGGGTTTTATTGCTACTCCTGAAACGCCACGCTTCACTGATTTGTTTCCAAAACACATCCCTGGACGGTGAGGCTGACCTCCACGTCCCTGAACCCTCCGCCTGCTGTCAGACCAGACGCACCACAAGCTAAAAATGACTCTGTGTGATTCTGCGGGAATCGAACAGTCAGAGCTTTAAATGTTCAGTCTTTGTGAGAGATTAGATCGCACAGAGAGCGTGGGGGACTGACATGCAGGAAATGGTCTGGCAGCATACAGGTCACCTGTTCAGCCAGGTGAGGTTCAGCAGCAGCCCACAGGGTAAAGGTTTAACATGACTCCATGTGTGAAATACAGCAGCGGATCTAGGATGCCCTCGGGAGCTTTGAATTAGGGTCTCATACGGTTTATTACCCGTGATCATCCCATGGTCACCGGTGAGCGGTGCAGGAGTCAACAACAATATAGACGTTAGGAGACCGACACTCGTACCGCTCGCTCTGATGGAAGGATCGAGGGAAGCTCAGGGTTCAGTCTCTAACCCTAGCCATACCCCGCCTCCTGACAGGGAACTTTTACCTATTTGGCATCATCGACAAATATGTGACCACAAAGGAACCGTGAGGCTGAAGAGACGCGATCTGAACGGGAACATGTTCTAGTTCATGAAGCTCTGTTGGTCTCACACACAGCCCGACGCGACTCATCACCTGCTTTGTTTCAGGTGCGTTCCACGTTCCTGCTGCGAACTTCTTCTCTGGTTTCTTCTTTGTTCAGTGACTGAATGTGGAGCAAACGACGCATCATCAGGAACCATCTCTGTGGTGATGAAGATGATGACCTCTGCCCACAGCAGAGGTCACATGATGACTTCATGCACTGCAGGCGTGCTTACACCGACGTTTCTAATAATGAGGTGTTTGAGATTTTCCTCGAGTGGCTGAGGAAAGGTCGCGATCCGGCCTTTCAAGCTGTGCTCCACATGCGTGCAGGTTAGTGACATCCATAGCTGGACTGGCCAGCAGCCCACCGGGCATTTGCCTGGTGGGCTGCTGGCGATTTTTTGTTTTTATGGGCCAATGGATTTTTTTTTTTTTTTTATGAAGGGTATATATAATGAAAGGTGTTGGATTGGCCAATTGGTCATGAGCGACTCTGGGCTGGACCAATTACAGCCGAGGAGGCCGGATGCACCCGCCCCCTTGTTTAGCAATCACGTGATTTTCGCGCATTGCATGCCGGGAACTCGTGGCAAAACAATCCAAGTACCGCATCAAATGCAAGCATTTGCAGCACCGCAAAACGTTCATTCTCCGGTTCCAATACCTTCTTGTTTTTTCTTTGCCGCACAAAAAAGGAATGTACAAAACAAAAGGAGAACAATGCCGGTCCGTACAAAGACAGACTCGACGAAAAGACAAAGAAAAGATACGAGGAAAAAATCAAAGGTGTGAAAGGGTCAGACCCTTACGAGCACACAGAGGGACAAAAGACGTTAGCGTGCTGCCCAACTTTCACCACGCTCAGATTTATAATCATATGGTTCTTGGAGTGAGCGCATACACTCATGAAGTTTAGTAACTTCAGGTCACTGCAACAAGCCCAGGTACAGTTTACCGACGGATGGGTGCAGGACCTTGAAACGCACCGTGTAGAACGAAAGACCATCGTACGAACAAAGGTAAGTTTACCAGTCTCACAAATCGTCGTCATAAATACACGTTCGTTAACCGTTTTTTAATAGGACCTTTGAGCTCAACGGTAATTAATTAGCAGTGGAAATAATTTCTGGTAGCATCACAGAAATGTAGCAGTGACAATAATACTGTATGCTGTAATCGTACTGGGCAATTAGTGATACAAAAAACCTGTTTTATTCTGTGAATAAAAGTATATGTTTCTGTCAATGTACCATAATAACAGAAGCGAAACGCAATATTGTGTCAGGACAATTCACTATTTATGCACAATAAATAAAGGAGCATAGCGCCACAACTTCTGTTCAGTGCCAGACTTGCTTGTAACCTATATCACCAATTATGTTAAGAAAAATTACGCATTAACTACAACAGCAGACTGACCTTTGTGGGAATGCTTGGAGCAGACTAACCTGTGAGCTGGAGGGTTCTGGGACGTTATATTTGGTATATCCAGACCATCCGTCGGCTCTTACTTCGGAAACATGGCTTAAAACATTTCTCTTCAACGACGTAATCCGATTAAAAAAAAACCGATCGGCTTCCCGTGGCTGTCATGCGACCGGCTGTTGCAGTTAATAATACAACAGCTTCTTGCCATTTTTTGTTTCTTTTTATCGCTGTGTAACTGAGTTCAATTGAAAGCCTGCGTGCGCTAGTACCTCTTGCCACAAGTTCCCAGAATCCTTTGCGGTTTTACCCCTGAATGACGTCACATTTTCAATCTTTATCCTGGTAGACCGGTCTCTAGTCAAAATGCCCGGGCCGATTTTTTGTCCCAGTCCAGCCTTGGTGACATCTATCAGGTTTCCTCTGGTCTGTGGAACAGGTAAGGACTGCTGAATCTGTAAGTTTGCTCAGAGGAATCGTGCAGTGCGTTCTTGGTTCATGTTGTGGATCAAATCATTACTCCCTCAGTGTGTCAGCGTTCCTAACATGAATGAATGAAGCACCTTTACATGTCTGTTTGTTGGTGATCTGCACCTGCTGAAACAACTTTAACATCCATTTTCACCTCACCTCCTCAAAGCTCATCTTTCCTTAGAGACCCAAAGAATTCATCATAATGAAAATATCAATAACAACAATGACTTCTGTGTGTTTCGTCTCTTTGGCAGGAATGAATTTTCTGAGGGGCTGACATCAGAGGGCTGATGATGATGATGAAAGAGGTGTACTCACCATCTTGGATCCTTCCTGCTAGAGCATCAGAGCTGAATCCGGCAAACACCACGGTGTGCACCGCGCCGATACGGGCACACGCCAACATGGCTGCCACCGCCAGCGGAGACACGGGCATATAAATGGCCACTCGGTCACCTTTGTTGATCCCGTGACTCTTCAGGGCGTTGGCAAGGCGGCAAGTTGTCTCCAGCAGCTCCCTGCAGGTCAGACAGAGTGAGGATGATGAAGGTGGCTGATTATTTCCAGCTTTGTGTATTTATTCTCAAAGGGAAGAGTGGCTTTGCATGACTCGTAGTTTGAAATAATCCTTCTTTGTCTGAGTTCATCATCCGTCTAAAACCAGCTGCTTTAGCTCCTCCCCTTACATGAAACAGGACTAATCAGACAGCAGGACATGGGAGGAAACAATTAACAGCTGGTGAGAACCATCACCTGATGAGAGCTGAACCTGTGTCATGTTCAATGGCGCCACTCCGTGCATACCTGTGCTTGGTGTGGCTGTGTCAATGTCACCTCCAAAACACTAGTTGGCAGTGGAGTTCCTGTCTTCAGAAAGGATATCAGAAGGAGAGGCTGGAAACGGGAGATAACTAACTTGGAGGCACCTAACCAAAGGCCAATCAGTCACCACAGGCTATTACATTTGCAGACAGGTGTAGGTTAGGGTGGTGCAGGTTCAGGTGTGGCTACGACATAACGAAGGAGTATGACTCCCACCGTGACCGTTCTGAAAGCTGAACCTGTAAATTCGAGTGCAGCACCCTAAAAATATCCGGTCTTTAAGTGATGACGTATGAACCCTGGGTCCAAACTGCTCTGTTTATTAAGGCTGTTGTGTTTTTAACATGTTTTCATGTTTTGTATCTTGTTCTGTTTAATCTGAACAAGCCACTAAAAACAGTCAGTGATCACTGTCGGCCTCTGTTTTTATCACCACTGTTCATTTTAAAGCTCAGTTATAAACCCTTATGATGTAACTACAGCCCAGCCCATGCAGCAGTATATGAATGACTAACCTCGTATTGTGGATGGATTATCTCAGTTGTTCTCCTGACTGAAGTTTGGTCCGTTTACAGCATCCTGCCATGTGATTACATTTGTTCCTGACCACCGAGAACACTCACAGTAACTTTTATCAAGTGGAAAATTGTTAGCGTTCATCCTCCAGCTTCACTGTGTTTATGCTAACATAGCTGTGTCGCTAGCGGTCACGTAGCACATCATTATATACCAGCTAGCCCAACTTCAGTAACCCTACAAACGTCACTGCTGTTTAGTTTTCTGTCTTCATTTATGTTGAAAGTGACAGCAGAGCTGTACGTTTTAACTTTTCATAAAGAACATGCTATATCATGTTTAGGTGGAAACTAGCGAGCTAACGTCCTGCTAACTTCTATCCATCCATCGATCCATTTTCTTCTGCTTCTCCGGGGCCGGGTCGCGGGGGCAGCAGCCCAAGCAGAGAAGCCCAGACCTCCCTTTCCCCAGCCACCTCCTGCGTCCGGAGTGAGGCGGGAAAGAAAGTGCGAGAGAGAGGGTGAGAGAAAAAAAACCCCCACTGCTCGCATCATTCACTTCAAAGAGTGAACGAGTCGGCTCTCAGAGCCGTTTCGTTCGCGACCAACACATCACTAGTCGCAGGACGTGTTGGGACACAGCTCTAGAGTCATTGTGGTTACTTCCTGTTTTACTTTGAAGGTTAATCTTCTGTTGTGCATCCTTCTAGTTTTACATCCTGCCTGGTGTTTCTTGCTGTGTAATCTTTGTTCACTTCGAGATGATGTTATTCCAGTTGGACTTTGCTGTGTTTGGATTTGGTTATCTCCTTTGGTTAGCTCCCATGCTGTTGGCGGAGAGACTCTAAGCTGAATATATCAATCAGACCATCACAGCTGTAACTGAAACCCTGCAAAGTGAAGCTGCTGACAGCTGAGGTTTCTGGAGCCAGGTGAAGATGCACAGCAGAAACACCTGCTCCACCTTTACGTTGCTCCAACACCTCTGTGGCTTTGCTGCGTGCTGATAAGATAAAGAGCGGTGTCATCTGCATAGAGGGAGGTCATGGCTTGATTTCTATCAGTACAGCTGATTAAATGATAACAGGTGTTCTTACCTGTAGGTGACCTTCACCTCAGTGCCGGGTTCATCTTGTTCCCAGATCAGAGCCACTCGGTCCGGATGTTTTTCCACGTGGACATCCAGGCAGTTCACTGACAGACAGACAGCGACTCAAACTGAAGCTTCAACAAACTAAACTTTTTATCAAACATAAAAATCAGATTCAGATCACACAGTGCTCACACAGATTTACACAGATCTGTGAACAACATCTGAGAGTCATGGGTCTTTGTTTTTGTAGAAAATGTTTCAGATCTTTGAGTTCAGCTCATGATAAATGGGAGCAAAAATAAAAGTGTTGAGTTTTTGTTCAGCACCAGGAGAATAAGCTTTAAACATTTCATGCACTGTCCCAGTATCTCCGATCATTTCCAGGTCCCTTGTTATCATTTAGCAGACTGGTGACTCCAAACGTGAGCAGAAACAGCACAAAGTGAACCTTTTAAAGCCAAAAATACAAACGTGTCACAGACAAGGCAGCTGCAAAAACTCGAGGCTGGACACAAATGAGGACGGCAAACAGAGACAACGGCACGGGGAGACTGAGCCTATTTATACAAGAGACCCAAAGAAAACCCAGAACCAACACAAAACAGGACGGCACTGACCACAGAGACCCAAAACCCCCACAAGGGAAGGCTGGAAATACGCGGAGCTAAAGAGCAGTGACGAATGTGGAAATCAAACTCAACTAAAACCAGAGCAGAACGCAAGTTCACAACCTCAGAACTCTCTAACGCTCTACGACCTGAGGCACCTGTTAGTCAAAGAGGCCACACCCCTAATAGTCAGTCCTACATGCTACACCTGTAGAGGTGTTATGGGGGTAAATTATCTACAGAAACCAGAAATGTTTGTGTATCAGGCTGTGAATATGTTGACTCACCGCTGCCTCTGCTGGACACTAGAAAAACTGCAGGTTTAAGGCTTTCTTTTTCAGCCCTGGATGGCTCAATGCAGCTCCAGAATTCAGAATCCAGAATTCCTCCTCACGGCTGCTTAGTCCCGTCAGCAGCTACAGGAACGTCTGATGGAGGTCTGAAGGTTACGCACTGATAGATTTACAGACCGGTCTGACTCTGAGTGCTCCCAGAGTCTCAGAGATGGTGTTTGTGGTGAAAATCACACCGCCAATATTTCACTTTGCTCACTTTGCTTCTGGATTTTAAGCCACGGAGGTGGATTTCATACAGAAACTGACTGAATAAAATACGATTAATTCTACTAAGCAAACGTTTGAAGCTGAGGAAACAAATGTTTCTCTTCATTGTTTAATAATCTTTAAGAAGACAGGATTCAAGCCAGTGTGCCAAACATCATCACACTCCTATATTTACTCGTTTTATCTCATCAGGTTTCAGTTTATCGTGAAACCTTCAAATCCTGCAGCTGCACCTGTGTCCTCTATCCCTCGTGTTTTGTGGCGTCAGCATCTCTCAGATCCTCTAATGATTAATTCTGTATCTGATGCAAAGTGCTGCAAACACATCGTGTGATGCAGAGCGTCTTCATTTATGTTCTGATTGAACATTAATCTGAAAATGGGCTTAAACCTGCAGATCCTGTCACGCAGCAGCTTTACAAAGTCATTTATGTAACAAAGAGCAGGAACAGAAAAGAAAAGCATCCAATCAGATTGGAGAGAAATCCTCCAGCCGGCATTATTGGAATATTATTGGATTATTATTGGATTATTATTGGATTATCATGAGAGAGAGAAAAACAACAGAGGAGGATAAAGAGAGAAACGCAGTCAGGTCACACCCTGCAGAGAGGCAGATACTCAGTAAACCATTAGTATTGTAATTACTCACAGCACTGTCTCAGTTACTTACTGTCATGTGTTTACACACTAACATGCACACAGTAAGATAACATATGAAACTTCCAGTCTGATCGCTGACTCTTATTTAACCCAATAAACAAACAGTCCACTGACTAAATCTTGATTTCTATCAAATCGTATCAATAAAGATCAACAAGCACAGCAGTGACAGCAACAATAACCTCTGCTGCAAACACTGAAGCAGAAACATCTGAACATCAGAAACAGCCAGCTCCTCCCCCTGCCCCTGCAGGTGTGTTACTGATCAGGTGAAGTGGCTTTATTGTAATTTTGACCGTGTGCAGTGGTTCAGTACACAGTGAACTGAGACAGAGTTCCTCCAACACCCTGGTGCAGACAATCAGCACGGGACTGCATGAAGTGCAAATGTGCAAAAACACAACAACAGTGCAACATTAGACACAAGCGTGCAATAGAAATGTGCAAAAGACTGAGCAGAATGTAACTGTGTCAGTCCAGTCACGGAGTGTTCAGGAGTCTGACGATTTGGGGGAAGAAGCTGTTCCTCGGTGAGGGGTGTGTGGCGTCCTCCATGATGCTGGTGGCTTTGCAGATGGAGCAGGTGTGATAGGTGTCTGTGATGGAGGGAAGAGAGGCTCCAATGATCTTCTCAGCTGCGCTCACTATCCGTTGTAGAGCATTGTGATCCGATACGGTGCAGTTACCATTCAGACAGTGATGCAGCTGCTCAGGACGCTCTCGATAGTCGCTCTGCAGAAGGTGGTGAGAATGGCAGGAGGGAGATGGGCTTCCCTCAGCTTCCTCAGGAAGTAGAGACGCTGCTGGGGCTTCTTAGTTATGGAGCTGGTGTTGAGGGACCAGGAGAGGTTCTCTACCAGGTGGACACCAAGAAATCTGGTGCTCTTGACGACCTCCGCAGAGGATCCATCGATGTTCAGTGGACAGTGATCTCTCCGTGCTTTCCTGAAGTCAACAATCATCTCTTTTGTTTTGTCCACATTCAGAGACAGGTTGTTGACTCGACACCAGTCCGTCAGCTGTTGCGCCTCCTCTCTGTATGCTGACTCGTTCTTGCTGATGAGATCCACCACAGTCGCTCAGTGTGGTGGTGTTGGAGATGCTGTTGATCCATATTGTCTGAGGCCTCTGCGTCAGGATCCAGGTGCAGAGAGAGGTGTTCAGGCCCAGCAGGCTCAGTTTAACAATCAGGTGCTGAGGAATGATTGTGCTGAAGTCTATGAACAGCATTCATCAGGTGTCTTATTGACAGGTGTATTACTGACATGTGGGCTTGAGCTGAGCTTCAGGGGTCACCAGTTTCTGCAGTTATGGTCTGAAACATAATCAGGTGACAGTAAAGGTGACCTTTGACCTGTTGAATATAAAACGGCACCACTTGAGGGTATGATCCGGTTTGGATGAAGTCCAGGTGAGTGTGTGCAGAATCAGAGGCCGAACTGAGAGCTCTCGCTGTGTTATCAGCCATGCACATTCCTCCAGACCACGCCTCCTCCTTGTGCCAACAGCTCATTATCAGCTCAGTCAGCAGCAGTGGCTCCGCCCAGCGACATGGAAGTAATGGGTGTGGTAAAAAAACGGAAACAAACGACCACATGAGGAGATGTGCGTATTCATAAAAAGGTGAATACATGATGAGAAGCCTGCGGCACAGGACTGAACTTTGCCTTCATTTTATGATCATTATATGTACTCACATGCATTAACACAGAAACAGACACGCCCACATGATCGCTAACATGCGTTTGTTTAAAAGGATTCATTCATGTGCAAAAACACATGACTGTCTGCATGAATAAAGCTTGGTCTGAAAGCAGAGCCATTATTAACCTTTAAATGTGTTTCGGTCCGAGCCACAGAACAAACGGACACATTTCTGAATGACGTCTGGTGAGTTTTTTCTGGCCTCATTAGGAGCCGCCGTACAAACACTCAGACGGGCCAGAGCTTTAAACTGTGACTGATCAGCAACAAAAGAACACCCCCATCACACCCCCACCATCATTACACCAGCAGCTCCGACTGTGAGACTGTGAGGTTTCAAACTGAGCTCAGGCCTCAATGATCAAACTGCGTGACAACAAAACCTTCATTTAGCCTCTTCATCAGAGCTGCAGACCCACAGAGTCCTTTACATTTCCTGCAGGCTTTATTTTTTCACTAAAGCATCAAACACAGTCCAGAGAAAATCATGGTACAAAACTACTGACTTATACTTAATCAGATAAAACATTTAAACACATCAGTAAATGTACTTAAATCAAACAAGCAATTTATTTATATAGCACTTTCAGATCAGCCCCCAGCTGAACACAAAGTGCTGAACACTTGACATGCCAAAAGTGATACATTGAACATGTTAAAGAATAAGAAAAAAAAATAATAATAATATTAATATATGTATTAAAATGGAAAATAAAATGATTATTAAAATGTCATTTAAAATAATAAAATTAGCACAAATAGCAAAAACAATAATAAAATAGCATAGAAAATGACGATGAGCATTACATTTAAAACAATAAAATCAGGGTCAGACTGTGTCATAAGCCAAGGAGTAAAAACAGAAGGGCTGCTAGCTGCAGCAGCACCGTTGTTACTGATTGATGGGAGATTAGTGTGGAAACAGCGGAAGTTAAAAAAGGTGAAAATCTGACTGAAGTTTGGCTCCGTTCGGCTTTTTCTTCATTACAAACTTTGACTGAAGCGCACAAACAGCCGCACACACAGGCGAGCAAAATCAGGCACATTTTGAATGAAGTCTGGTGCAGACACTGGCTCCCCGCACAGAGGAGTTCAGGGCTCCTGCGCTCAGTATCGATCACTGATTAATAACAGTTATCAGCGTGTTATTGACTGGCACGCGCAGGAAACGTGACCGACTCTCCGACAGCGGGAAGTTTGACTGAGCACGACGGAGGAACTCGGATTAAATATCGGGATCGATCAGGTTATTGATCGACGGGAAACTCACCGGACACGTTGAGCTTTCCTCCCAGGAACCAGCCGATCCTCCCGCTGCTCAGGTCGCAATCCCGGACCCGGTGGAACGGTTCCACCCAGCGGAGCCTGTCGGCGGCGGCGGCCCCCCAGAACCGATCCGGGTCCGTGACGGAGAGGCGGTACAGGTCCCCGTGGGAGAGCCGGGACAGCTCGGTGCTCCAGGTCCCGGGGGCAGGAGCGTGAGGCTGGTAGGACAGACACCTGCTGGGTCCCGGAGCCCTGCGGCGGCTCAGCGCGGCCCAGAAGAGCCCGGACCCCCTGCTGCGCGCGGCCATGGCGATCCTGAGCGGTCAGCTGTGAGACCGGAACACCTCCGCTCCTCAGAGCCGGCCCCTCGGCCCTCCCACCCCTCAGGTGTGTCCAGGTGCAGCAGGTATGGAGGAACAGTAGTGCCGAGTTTCGGTGCTCCAGCATCCGTTATGAACATAATTATACCTGAAGTCTGAGTTTTGGATTGAAGAGTTAAAATGAAATTCTGAACTTATTTTTGTAAAAAAAATTAAATAAAAAATGAATTCACTCATTATTACTTATTATTTTAGAGAGTTTGTCTCATATTTATTCAGAAACATGTAATAAAAATATGTTTGCATTTTTAATCCCGTAATGATGTTTTTTATATTACATTTAAATTAAAGTCAGAACGTCAACTTTAATCTTTCTGTGAAGGTTCTCAGTCATCCAGGTCATCGTAGTCAAAGGAGCTTGCAAAGAAAAGCGTCTGGACTTCTTTAAGTTACTTGAAGACGTTTCACCTCTCATCCGAGAAGCTTCTTCAGAGGTGAAACGTCTTCAAGTAACTTAAAGAAGTCCAGACGCTTTTCTTTGCAAGCTCCTTTGTCAACTTTAATCTGCTCGTGTTCACTTTTTATTGTCACATTTATTTATTAAACTACAAACAATTTCCTGTCTTGTCTTCTTATTGTTAACGGTTACATCACTTCCTTTGTGAACATAAAGAAACCATTTAAATTTGAACTAAGGTGTCCCCAGCTGAGCGTCCTCATGAAGCCGCCCGCTCACATTAAAACCTGCAGATATTTAAAAGTGATGGCACGTCTGTAAAGGCACGCACTGTGCGAGCAGTTTGGGTGTTTTGCATTTCTAAAGGAGGCTCTGTGAGCCGAGTGTCCACAGATGTGGAAAAACCTGCGGCACAGAAACAAGCAGAGCGTGCAAAACACAACTTCCTTTCTGCGTGTTTTATTAAAATGTCAGAGCGAGGTCTGAAGATCGCACACAAGACCAAACGCGTCAAACAGGAAGGCCGTTTGTCATCGAGTGCGTGAGGTCGTACTTCAGACTCAGTTTTAGCTAAAGGAAGGAGGTGATTTGTCTTTCAGCCGGCGATGAGCACGAGGACGCTGAAGAGAAGCTGCTGGATTTGTACAAAATGAAATGTCTGCAGTGGACAGATATCCATGGTTACAGCCTCGACCAATAAGGAGCACGGATGCTGTATCACAGGATGGCTGGTCAGCTGCGCAAACATCTACTGTAATCTGCACATTTCCACTTTTTTTATTCTCAGAATTTTCTTTATGTCTTTATGTTTATAAAGAGACGAGCTGAAACACGAGGCTTTCAAAGATTAGAGACAGGAAGTTACCGCCGAGTGTTTCCTGTGTGGATAACAACAGTAAAACATGACAAAAGACACGATTAATCTGACGTAAACAGCTGATTCCCGCTGTCAGCGACACTTCAGCTTTAACCCTGTGAGCGTCTGAGCACCTGACCAGCTCGCCGACGTCCACGTTAAATCTGCGGCTCCTCGCATGCCTGTCAGCCAATAAGCTGTCACAATTATTAGCCCGCATCGAAACTGGGATTAACAGCTGCAGCTCTGACACGCTGACATGGAAAACATGGCGGTCTTTAACAGGTAAACAGAGACAACAGTAGCAATCAGCGGTCGCCACGGTGATTAAACTGTTCAAACACAAAGGGTCAGGATTATCTGCTGATTGGATCCTTTAATCTCACCTCTGTTCAGCTGGAAAACAGCTGGATTACATGAGCAGCTATCACAGAGGGGCACGGCCGACACAACAGAGGTCAAAGGTCACAAAGCAGGACAACTGGTCAGACGGGAAAACTCCAGGCGCTCTATTCTGAAAGTGCAGAGGAAGTCTGTGTGTATGTGGGCTGGAATCAGACTGTATATAAAGAACAGTCATTCACCTGTCAAAGAGGCCACGCCCCAAATAATGCAAACGTCATTCTTCATTTATATTGAAATTCGGCATGGCGATCATTTCTGATCTGAGTTTGTTTTCAAAATAAACAGACGTCACATGACACATAAGTTATTACCAAACAGATACGAGTTTAACGACCACGCGGCGCCACGCCTCACAGCTCCGGTGCAGAGTGCGACTGTGGCCGTTGAGTTCTTGCAGTTCTTAAACACTGTAAACACAAACGGCGAGTTCTCCCATTTGCCGTTTGTGTTTACGGTTTCATCGTTTTGCTTTAAAGACTCGACACCAGCTGGGCAGCAATTATGGATCCGTCCGGGACCACCTCCTGTTCGATGCTGCTGATTGGCGGGGGGGCGTTTCCCTGCGCTCCTGTCTGCTTCACGTGAGCTTTGGTCTGCAGGTGAGCCTTGAGAAAGGTGAACAGGCGGAAGTGTTTACCGCAGTCGCGGCAGCTGTACGGCATCTCGCCGCTGTGGATGCTGCGGTGCCTCATGAAGCTTGTGGCGAGGTTGAAGGTCTTGGGGCACAGCGAGCAGCGGTACGGTTTCTCCCCGGTGTGTGTGTAGCGGTGGTCGCGCAGCAGCTCCTTCAGACGGTAGCTTTTCCCACAGATGTCGCAGTGGAAAGGTTTCTCCCCGGTGTGGCTCCGCTGATGTGCGCGGTACTGCGATGGGTTCGGGAACTTCTTGCCGCAGACCTCGCAGCTAACGATGGCGTCGACAGCGGGCAGCTCGTGGGCGGGCAGCTCGTGCGAATGTTTGCTGATGACGTGGTTTTTCAGGCAGCGGAAGCTCTTGCCGCAGATAGAGCAGAGCTGCCGCTCGCCAGTGTGCGTCGCCTGGTGGCTGCGCAGGTTGGCGGCCTGCGTGAAGCCCTTCCCGCAGGTGGGGCAGCGGAACGGCCGCACTTCCTGGTGCACCAGCTTGTGGCGTGTCAGGTGGCAGGCGTGGTAGAAGCCCTTCCCGCAGACGTCACAGATGAACGACTTGTCGAAGTGCGTGATGCGGTGCGTCTTCAGCACGCTCACGCAGGCGTAGCCCTTTCCGCAGATGTCGCAGTGGCAGCTCTTCTCGCCGGTGTGCCGCGCCTTCACGTGCAGGTCGCGATGCGCCTTGTGGTTAAACCTCTTCGGGCAGAAGTCGCAGATATACGGCAGCAGCCCGTGTTTTTTCAGCTCGTGTTCACGCAGTTTCAGGACACCAGTGAACCGCAGGCCACACACCGAGCACGCCGGGTGAGCCTTCTTCTCGTGGTCGGCGAGCCGCTCGCTGTTTGGAAACAACATGGCGCAGTGCGAGCACTGTAGGTGAGTCTCTGTTGCCTCACCAGACACCACGATTCGAGCTCTCTTCCTGCGGCCGCGAGGCCTCTTCCTGACCCCACCCACTGCCGCTGAGGCACTGCTGGATGGAGGCGACGTCGAGCGAGCGTACTCGTGGTCATCGGCCTGAGGCGCAGACGAGGAGGGGGAGAGCTCTGTCCCCTGACCTGTTACATCACACGTGCTTTCATTTCCACCTGCAACAGAGCAACAGGAAGTCTGTGAGCGGGACGTTACTCGTAGACGGGACAGTCGGACAGCGCTCGCACATCTTAAAAAACTATCAAGTAACCTGAGAAAATATGATGTCACGGCCAATCATGATGCTTTGATTTCACGCTACAGACAACACCTTCACCAAACAGGTGCCTGTCTGGGGGTGTGGCCTACTGCATAACACCCACACTGTGGATAAGAACCTCACCTTTTTCAGGTTTAATCAGTGACAAATCAAAGGAGCGACTTCTCACCGTTAGCGTGACTCTCCAGTGACACCAGCACACACTGTGAGTCTGCGGTGGCATTCTGAAAGACACAGGACAGGTGTCAGTGCTCGCTTAGCGCTCGTTCTCTGGCAGTTTGCTGGACTCACTCACTGACCTCATAAACCAAGATGTAGGTCTGCTCTGAGGGGGGGAAGGGAGCGCCACCGCCGCCTTCGCCTGCAAAACAGGAAACAGCAAGTACACAACCTGAAGCGTTTAGGTGGTGATGTAATCATTCTTTCAGGGACCCCGTCCCAGCTGTTCAATCTGCAGCCAATCAGAGGTCAGAGTACTGACCTCCGGCTGTCTCTGAAACATCATCGCTCCCATCATGCATCTGGCCCACGTTCTCGCCGCTCTTCATAACGCTCAGATTGACCAGCTTCAGGATTTTCTCCACAGCTTCAAAACAGAGATGCTCGACGAGAGCGCCGAGTTTCTCCTGTGAGGAAAACACACACACCGTTTCATGACTCATGTTTTCTGATGATAGGTGATGGATCTTCATTGGGAATGTTCTTGTTTTTAGGTTTTCTTCACTGTCACTCCGACTCAACAAAACTGTCTGCACATGATCACACATATGAGGGGAAAAAGGTTCATATTTGGTTCAGGATATTTCCCAAAAACAATGCTGAACGCTAACCTATACTTGGAATCTGTGAGGTAAAAGCAGAAAAACAGAAAAAGCAGAAAAACAGCTCCTGCTGCAGGTGAATGTCTTTACCTGTGTGTTAAGCGAAACTTTTCTCTTTCCAACTTAAAACATGCCGAAATGTAGGCGGCTTAGATTTCAGTCACAGGTAAGAAGGAGGAGCCAATTTTCAGGCTCTAGGTCTAAGTAGTCTCGGTTGTAATGATTTGTGTCACTGAGTTAATAAATTATTGACGAACTAAAATTGGAGGATTTTTACATGGAGCTCGGGATGATGACATCGGGACTTTGGGAGTGAGTAAACCACTTAAACACCTCGCGCTTCTTCTTCGTCTTCTCTCGCACGCACACCGTGAGCACGTGAAACCGGAAGAGCTGGAGTTGAGCTAGCTGTTAGCGAGAGTTAGCTGGGCTGGCTTACCTCGGCTTCGAGGCTTTGTCTGTTTAAAGAAGCTCCCTCCACAGCGCTGAAAATCTCCGTCACCACCGCCCTGGCCAGGCTGTTGACGACGAGCGCCACTTCATTCCTGAAAGTGCTTAAATCAGCCATTTTTTAGGAGTTCCCACTCTCAGTGGCCAGTTAGCTTAGCAACCAAACCGCTAATGTGGATAGAGGAAGTGACGTAATTGGCTTATCCCGCAGGCACTGGTCGGGAAAGGGAAGCGGAAAGTGAATAAAAGTACATTTATTGATTTTCTGCTGAATCTACTGAAGGCGTCGCGCATTGGATAATAAACATTACGAAAAATCCTTAAATTACATGATTTTAAAATAGAGTTTGGCTTACTTCAGTGTGGAATATGAACGTAAATGTGTCTTTAATGGAATAGAATAGAGATATCCTTTATTGTCCCTCACCGGGACAGGCGGAGCATGCAGATTCACACAAAAGTAAAGAATATGAAATTTAAAAAAACAACAATTAAGAGACTGTAGAGGCAGATTTCCAACATTAAAAAAGCAGGACTCACAGAAATGTGCAGCTGAGTAGGATTATTGGTGCACAAAATGCTGTATATTTGTGCTTAAAAACCAACAACAACAGACTATTTAGCAAAAATGGAAAAACTGCAAATACCAGCAGGATGTAAATACTTTATTGAGTTTGTTGGGAGCTGTGACGGAAGTCCAACAGCTGCTGGGAGGAGGGACCTGCGACACTCCTTTGTGCACTGTGGATGCAGCAGGGTGAGACCAAAGGAGCGCTCCAGTTCTTCCACAGCTTCATGCGTGGGGGTGGAGACACTGTCCAAGAGTTCTTCTGTCTCCTACCACCTGCACTGGGTCGAGGGGGCATCCTAGCACAGAGCTGGCCTTTATGAGCTGGTCCAACTGCTTCCTCTCAGCTGTAGATAAGTTGCCGTTCTAACAAACAACATCATGATGGCTGATGATACACGTGTAATTTAATTCAGATAACACAGAAAAAACAGTATTAAATGGTATAAAAACATTTTTATTTTCAAAGGTGCCTGTTTTTCTTCTAATACCAGCAGCAATGCCTAAAATGGAATTAAATCATATTTTCAATTCATCCTTCAGTTTCATTACATTTGTTTTATAACAGAAAGATGAAGATTAGTGAATCTCTTGGCCTTTTATGAATTTTATTTGTATTTTTTCACCTATCTGGTTAATTTGGGGTACCGCTAAGTAGGTATGGAAGTCAGTGGGTGGCAAAAGTGAAACAATTCACAAAAAATTTGAATTAAACATTTATGGTACTCAAAGTTTCCTGTTAAAACTGAATATAGAATTTGGAAACTTTATAGAATGATGCTCTTTTAAAACTAGTAGTAAATATGTGCCTCTTTTTTTTCCAGCTGATGTGTAAAATTAAGTTTTAATCAGTGTTTGTGTTAATAAATCACAACAAAGCTCAGCTGATTCCAAAAATACTTCTTTATTTTACACCCTGCTGAATCTCCACCTGTATAAGCATATACTAATAATAATAATAATAATAATGATAAAATGTTTGAAATCTTACATTTAAATTACATTCACAGAGTTTCAGTCAAGCAGGTCCAACTATAAAACACAAAAACCAACAGGAAGAAAACATTAGATATTCTCAGACTCCCAAAAACCATGGATATAAAACATAAACACACACACACACACACACACACACGTCTTTCACAGTCTTTTAGAAAAGACTCCAACCCCTCGAGGCTGATCTGAACGTCACAGCATTGGTGTTCATCTTAACGATGAACATTAGTTTCCCAGGAGCACGGCGAGCACAGCCAATCACTATTTTGTTGTTTCAGAACATAAGTTAGCATACTTAATGATTAGCATGCTTAATGCTAGTGCTCTGTTAGTATCAGGCTATTTTAGCACACTAACAACACTTTGTCGCACAGTGCAGAAATTACCACCGTAGCATGCCACTAGCATGGTAAATCTGAAATGTTCAAATACTAATACAAAAAGTTAATAGTAGTGATTAAAGCTTTTTTGAAGTGCTAAAGTTTGCTAGCTGATCCTTATAGTATAACACAGGGTTTACATATATTAGCATGTTAGCTAAAAATAGCTTTAAGTAATAGCATTTTCTATCAAAATATGTTATCATGACTCATATTTTCCCATTATTTGTTTCACTGTTAACACTTGTTGACAACTGAAACTTTTAATATCATTGTTTTTCATCTAAAATCAGAACTTTTTTTGTCGCTAACACTGAGAAAATAAAGTCAGCTACAAAATGCTTACATGATCAATCCTGCTGATATTTTAACAGGTAGTAGCACACCAAAACAATATTTATATTAGCTCTTAGCTTTGTTAGCAAACCAGCAGCTAGCGTTTGAACAAACTAACTTTGCATAGTAACAAGTAAAGTTTTGGCTGCGTTTGTTTCAATTGGCTGTGCTTCCTGAAAGAGCCAATCCCATCACAGCGCTGCCTGAACAGAACACCTTCCTCCTCTTTGGTCAGATCATCTTCAGCTGTGTTCGTCTGATTCGCTGCAGCTTTGTTGCTGTGGTGAAGAGGCGGTTCTTATCGAGGCTCCGCCCTCCTCTTGCTGCTGCTGTTTAGATGAGCTGGACAGGTCAATGGCCACCTCCTCCTCCACCTCGTCCTCTTCCTCCTCCATCAGCTTGTCCTCCTCCGGCTCCTGGGCCTTGCTGGAACCTCGTCGTTCCGAGGCATCGCAGAACGAATCGGAGCGCGCCGAGTCGGACGCCGGAGGGCTGGAACACTTTTTGGACATTTCCAAAGACTTCTTGTGCATCCCTGTGGGGGCGGAGTCACATTCAGGTTCAGTCCAGTGCGAACTGCAGTGTTGTTTACATGTTTGTTCACTGCTATGGTAACATGAAAACATTCAGGCCCGTGTTACACGCAGCACTTCATTGTTTACTCTAAAGGCTTATTGATCACTGATCGGTGTGTATTGATGCTGCTGTGGTGCACGTGTGGCACTGACGTGCATGCGGCTCACCGAGCAGCCAGGGGGCGCACGATCCCATCATGCCGTTCTTGGCAGAGTTGAGGATGGACTCGGGCAGCGGGATGGAGTGTCGCACCATGGCGCCGTACAGACCGTACTCCGCCATGACGCTGCTGCGACCCCAGCACTTCTCACGCTTACGCCACTTGGCCCGCCGGTTCTGAAACCACACCTGGAAATAAAACAGGAAGTACAGAGGTCAGAGGTCGTGCCCAACACTTGAGCAGGTAAACAAATAAATAATGTGTTACACAGAGAAATAAAAACAACACGATTTCACATGTTCACAGCATTTCTCAATAAAATCAACAAAACAGAACAAAGTTCAGATCAGATTAAAGCCCAAATATTAAAAACCAAACAGCCTCTTCAAATAAATTCATTAAATCAATAATAAAAACAATTTGAAAAAAAAATACTTTTTTTTTTAATTGAGAAAACTTGATTTTACGCTGATGTTTCCCCCTCACAGGAAATCTGTCTCTGATTTGAATGATTCAGGGTTTTCGCATTACAGATGTTCCTCGGATCAGTTCTCCACTCTGCTGATTGGTCAGATTGATGTCACCTGATCGGGACCCTCACCTGTATCCTGTCCTCGGGCAGCTCCGTCTTCATGGCCAGCATCTCCCGGGCGTACACGTCGGGGTAATGAGCCTCCTGGAAGGCCTTCTCCAGCTCCTCCAGCTGGTGGGAGGTGAACACCGTCCTGAACACAGCAGCAGACCCGATCATGTTTCATTCTTCATCACGTTTGATCTTCTTCATTACTGACATCACTGATTATTTTATTTACACTTCTAAGAATTGTTCATGACTGAAAATTTAAAAAAAAAAATCAGGTTAAAATATGAAATCTTTTTATTTTATTATCATCATCTGTCTTCTCTCCTTAATTACTGGAACCTGATTATTGATTATTATTTATTGAATTCAGTAAAGCAGCCACGGTTTGGTTTGTTCCTCCATTTTTTTTCTATGATTTGATTGAAAATGTTTTCTGCTTTTCACTAATGGAACAATCACGATTCATCATCAACATTATAATATTTATGACACAAAGCTTTCAATAATAAAATAATAATAAATGTTTTTAATAATCACGATGAATCAAAGTTCTTTTTTCTGCTAGAAACGAATTAATTCGTAGTTTTAACTTAATTAAAATATATTTAAGCCTTGCGTGAAGCTGAAATGTGTCTTTAAAACTCTTTTTTTCGTTTCTTCTTTTTTATTTCTTCACGTTGCTGAATTCAGAATAAAAATCTGAATGTGTGTTTGGGTTTTTTCAGCGTTTTTTCTCTTATTTGTATTTTTGTCCGAATTCAACGGAAACACCGAAAAAACATGAAAAGAGCACAGAATTAGAATTTTAAAAAGGCCAAATGTTTAAAAAATGACCCTGAATTATTTCTTCGTTTTAAAAACATTCGGTTCGTTGAGTTCTGCAGTTTTCCTCACCGGTGTCTCCTCTTCTTCCTCTTCTGAGAGTTTCCGGAGGTTTTGGGGTCGTTACGGTCCGACAGACACTCTTCATCTGCGACAGCAAAGAGAAAAAAATCAAATCTGAACGAAAAATCATCAGAAACAAAATAAAGTTGAGATAAAGGAGCCAATAAACTCGGGTCGGTGATGACGCTGAAGGCCTCGTGACTAAAACCAGATTAAAAGCCAAAAAATATTTTAGGGACGCGTCAGCACAGAACCCGAGCCGGAGCGAAGGGCTCCCATCAGGGACCCTTCTTCCAGCCTGTCTCCGTACCGGAATAGGCCTCCCGCTGGGCCTCCAGGTTCTGCAGGTAGTGGCTGTCGGGCCGGGCCTGCAGCAGCGGCAGGTGTCCAGGCAGGAAGCACGGCGCCCCGGCGGGCTGCTGCGCCGCCAGGCTGCACAGGAAGCCTAGGCCAAGGGGCAGCGACCCCCCCGGGAAGGAGAACCCGCCGAGGCCGGGACCGGCCCCGTGCTGCTCCGTCCCGGGCCCCGAGGCGAAAGGAGCCCCGCCGGGCTGCTGCCGGGCCTGCAGGTCTGTCTCCAGGCCCAGCAGGTCGGTGATGGCGAAGCCTTTGGAGCGGAGCCCGGGGCCGTGCAGCCGGCTCTTGTCGATGCCGAAACCCGGGGACAGCAGCTTCACCCGCGGCTTCTCCTCGCTGAGCTCCTCCCGCCCGGTCATCATGGAGCAGAGGAGGTGATGGAGCAGAGGAGGTGATGAAGGTGGAGAACAGAGCGGCAACGGGCGGCGGGCAGCTTTATCAGGCCCGGGATCCCAGCGGCGGCCAATCAGGGCACAGAGCAGGAGGGGTGGGGGGGGGGGGGGGGGCTCAATCCCAGAGGATTAATTGCCACCAATTTCCCTCCAATCCGATCAGGATTTCAGAGGAAGAAGAGGAGGAGGAAGACTGTTTATCTTTGATGCGGCCAAACATCACAGAGCATCCACCAATCAGCTGCTGCCATCAGCACCATCAGATTTCACAAACCTAATCTAGGCTCCATCAAGGCCGCTTAAACTGTGGGGCGCGGCCCACGGGGGCTGTGCTGGCAGTAGGATGGGTCTAAGGGAGCCGCAGACTGACACTGCGAAGGCTGCGGTCACGTGACCCTCGTGCACTTCTGTTTGTGCTCTTTTCATGACCCTAAAAATGACCTCTGACCTCTCTTCACAGGTGTTTGATGCTTTGGATTTGCTGTAATCTGACTTCAGCTGCTGTTAAATGTACAAAATAAAGAAAACTGGATTTTAAAAGTGCTGAAAAGTCAGTTTTAATGATCGATGAATTTTATTTACAGACAGAAAAATCAATTAAATCAAGGAAGTGAGTAAAGAATCAAATGCACAGTTCCTACTTTATCCGTTGGATTTATTTCCTGGATTTGGTGCCATTTTATTTCTTTTTTTAAACATTGATTTATTTATTTTCCTTTCTGAGGTTTTGAACCTCCACACACAGTATGTTCATTTTTTATATTTCATTTATTGTCATTATTTTGACAATAATGCTAGAAGAATTGAATAAAAGTGAAAATAAAGATAATAAAGATGATGATCTGCAGGTGGAGCGGGTGGAGCTGATGAGGATAAACAGAGAAAATCAGCTGTTTGTCTCTTTGGGCAGAAAACGAAGCTCCTGCTGATGAAAGTCAGGCTGGAAATTAGGGCCAAGTTGGCGGTTAATCCCTCAGGATTGACTGCAGGCTTGCAGTGTGTGTGTGTGTGTGTGTGTGTGTGTGTGTGTGTGTGTGTGTGTGTGTGTGTGTGTGTGTAAGAAGGTAAAAATGGTCAACTGGTTTTAAAAGCAATTAGAGGAATCTGCTTATCAGAGATAATTAAAGCAAATTTGGGCTGTTTTTAAATCCCTCTCTGTTCTCCTTCTTCTTCTCTTTTTTATTGTGGGCGTCACAGTTTGAGCAGATTACAGATTAAATCATCCGATGCGTTCATGCGCTCGTTAATGTGCTCGTGTTAAATTAGAGCAAAGAAGCTCATTGCTCTCACTTCATCGGGACGCCCGAGTCTCCGACATTCGAGCGCCAAACAAAGTCAGAGGTCGTGTCCAAATTCATGGGCTGCATCCTCCTGAGGACCCGGCCCACGTAGACCGCAAAGGCCGGGTCCTCAGGAGTCGGGAAGGCCGGAAGTAAACGGCTGTGAAATTGGACGGTCTCGCCTTCAGATTAGCGTCGCCGCTGTCTCGGTGGAGTTTAATAAACTCGCCGTCTGCTCCGTGCTATCTAAAATATAACCAGACACTGGTGTAAATTCTCGACTGTCTCATACTTCTGTTTAATCAGTTTTCTGTTTGACGTTTAGTCAGCTGTGTGAAAACCAAGGAGGAACCCACCCGGGGGATTAATAAAGTTTTATTTTATCTAATAACTTTGATCTCAGCCAAACCGATTTACTCACGAACAAACAAAACACTGAAAAAAGCCCAACAATAACATTTTAGGTTGTCTAAGTGACTTATATATTACGTTTAACCCGAGCAGCGAAACTCCGCGGTGATCTGAAAATGATGTGCCGGAGTTGTGCCGTTCTCGGCGGCTTCAGTGACCCTCAAGCTCCCGGCTAGCTGTCGAGCTGGTGGGTAACAGACGTCTCCGAAAACGTCGAAGCACTTTTGCAAATATGCGATATCTTGATAAACCGAGCAGATATTTGAAGTTTACACAACTACTTTCTCGCCTGAAAATATGTTAAACGTTTATTTTGTGACCCAGAAAGAATAATAAGAGTAATATTAAAATTAAGCAGCGGCCACCATTGTTGGAAACTGGAGTTTGGCTGGGTCACGCTATGAATTCTGGGCACGCTGGAGAGATTATATCTCTCGGTTGGCCTGGGAACGCCTTGGTGTTCCCCCGGATAAGCTGGAGGAGGTGGCTGAGGAGAGGGAGGTCTGGGCTTCTCTGCGTGGGCTGCTGCCCCCGCGACCTGGCCCCGGATAAGTGGAAGAAAATGGATGGACGTCAGTGTGACGCAGCCGTTATCGCCCAGAAATCATTTTTAAAAAATCAAATAAGAAACTAGAGAAACACGAGAGACGTACTGAAACAGAGCTGCACAGGTGAACCTTCACGTACACGCCAAGAAGAGGAGGAGGAAGCTGATTGGATGAGCGGTGGAATTACTCAACCTCAGCTGAAAGTCTGTAGAGTCTGTACCTGATTACTGACGAGAGCTGAAACATCTGTGCACATCTGTGTCCAGGAGGAAAGGGGGAGACCCTGAACGCACCGCGGCGGCCTGCAGAGCCCACGAAACATTCACAGACATCAGAGAGTTTATCTGCCTGCACTGTATTTGAGCTTACATGTGTTTGATTTTTACAAAACTTCACCAAATTACAATTTATGGGTTTTTGTGTTTCTTATTTTATTCGTTCAGTTATATTTAATAATTTTTTTATCCTTTAGTGTTTTGCTTTTTATTGGGTTGTTTTACCTTCAGTGTAATTATTTTTTCTGTCTTAGTGTTCAAATCTGGTTTTAACCTTTAACCTTTGTTGCTGTTTTAATGTTTATGTTTTGTTCATCATTTTATTTTGAGGTTTCATGGTTTTATTTGTGGAAACATCACGTTTGAAATCTGAGACGGCTGAGCAAAAACACGATGTTCTTCTTCTCTGCCGCTTTAATCAGCCGCTCACATTTGCAGGAAGATGAAAACAGAGCTCGGAGGGTTCATCAGGAGACGCCCATCTCGCCCCGCCGCTCACAAACAAGATGATAACAACAACGAGCAGAGGCGACACGGCTCGTTATCTTCTTTAATCTGAGGGCGCTCTTTGTTATCTCACTGATAACAAAACTGCAAAAACAACTGAGCATTCATGCGCCGGCCCTCGGCGTGCTGCAGCGGCGGCCCTCGGCGTGTGCTTGAGACACCCTCGGCGTGCTGCAGCGGCGCCCGCTCTGACTCAGTGGATCTCTGTGGATCAGTGTGTCCTGAACCAGCTCAGACACAGACTGTATATAAAAGACGGACAGCGCTTCTGTGAAACGTGAACTTAAATCTGAGTTTGTCCTGACAGACGCGCAGCGCTGCAAACGTTTCTTATCAGAGCTTTTCAATATCGATGACGTGCAGCGGAGGAGGAAACAAAGGGGGAGGAGCTTCAGGAAGCGCAGCAGAGTGGCTCGTGCTGGGATATCCGTGCAGCAGGTGGTTTCTCCGTCTTCACCACGTTAAACCAAATTTTCATGGCTTCTGCTCGTGATGGCGGGGGGCGGGTTCGTTGATTATTTTGGCGCCAAGCCCCTCTGGGTGAAAGGAGGAGGCGGGTTTCCCCTGAGAGCGTGGACACGCCCACATAAAGGAGCAGCAGGAGCATCCATTTGTCAGGCTGCCGTAACCTCCACACACCAGCCTGACCTCTGACCTCTGCATCAACAGCAGCTAAACGCAACAATAAGACTGTGAGAGGCACAACCCTGCAGAGCAGTCATCAGATTTTACTTTTGCATCATGCTTATCAGCCGGTGTGATGGAGAGGTCAGAGGTCAAAGCTGACCGTTTTCTACTCTGTGGTGTTGGCGGCGCTGACACGTGCTGACACGTGAGCGTCTGTGACTTTCATGAAGTCTCAGTTATCGTTTCAGCGTAAAGAAATAAACCAACAGTGGAATAATCTGATAACATCGCTTTCTAAACTGTAAACAGAGCGCTCCATTCTGAGGAACAAAAACAGCTAATCGTCTGAAGACAGCGCGCGGAGGCGTGGCCTGTGACCGCACCACAAAACACCTGAGAGCTGGGGCTGAGAGCACGCCGTAATTCTGTCTGCAGGAGGCGGCAGGACGGTGAGGTTAGCCAGGCTGAAGCACTGCGAGGAGGAAACCTGCACCAAAGAGCCGAGACAGCTTTATAGGCAGGAACGCAGCAAAGGGGAGGAGCTTCATGTCGAGCTGGGAGGAGCCCCAGCACACTGACACCGGCGCCGCCTCCTCTGAGAAACGTTCTTGATGTAACTGAACACACTTCCTGGACTCGCAGTGATGTCAGTAAGCCCGAGAGCTTCACAGCTGACCTCTGATCAGCGGTGACGCGACCAAAGCTGCGCGTTAATTACAGAAAGAACAAAATGATGAGGGATGGAGATAAAGTGATGAGAAGCTCAGAGAAATATTCAGACCTTAATCTGAAGATTATTTAGCGCTCGTAATCAATCAGTTTCCTCCGGCAAATCTTGGTAATCCACGCTGTTTGAAGAGTGAACATAAGTTTGTGCGGTGATGTTTAATCCAGCCTCAAACTGATGTTCTGCTTCAGTTTATAATCTGCACATAAAGAAGAAAGAGCGGAACAGAAAGCAGAGGAAGAAGAAGATGAAGAGGCGATTGAGGCTAAAATGGAAAAGATTAAATTATCTCATAATTCAGAGAAAAGCTTCCACAGCCGTCAGTAAAACCTCAGTTATGTTAACAATAAATCACAGCAAGGTGATTAAAGCCTGCACGCTCGCTAACATCCAGCAGGGAGTGCATAGAAGTGTGTAAGGAAACGAGATGACCTCTGACCTTAGTAAACTGTGTCCTGATTGGTTTCTGCTCCAGCGTGCCTTCTGCTGCTCGTCTCTGCACTCCAGGGCTGTGTCCCAATTCAGAGGGTCGCACGCTTGAAGTACGCATTTCAATGCGATTACGTCACAGCGACGCGACGACGGCTGTCTCAATTCAAAGTGTACTTCAAATGTGGCGTCGATTTCCCCAAATATCAAGCGTGGTCCGGTGCACGCTTCGTGGTCCC